CTGTATTCTAATCATACAAGTATATGAGATTTTAAATTTCATGGAATTTGAAGGTAATGGAATTTGAAGGCATTTATGTATATGAAAAAAAAACATTGTTGAGCTAATTAAAAAAAAAAAAAAAATCAAGTCTCAGTAACCCTTGTGCTACTTAAGCATTAATAATATCTTGCCAGTTAAGAGACAGGTCATGTTCCCTTCATGCTCCCACAATGACAGCTGACAGTGAGAGATTAGCACATCAGGGAACAACCTGCCCTTCCACTGAGTACCCCAGACTGACAAAAAAACTTCAGAAAAGAGTTATGATGATGATATGTTTATATCAGATATATTTGCACTTTTGCCTAACTTTTTGCTGTCCTTTTAACTTCAGAGAATTGCACCTCTTACATGAAAGATTAATTTGGCCTCATGTGTTGGAAGTTTGCTGGCATTCAGAGAAATAGGTTCACAGCAACACCAATAAATGGGATGAAGGAGAAGGTCCTGCCCCTACTAGATAATAATACACATTTCAGAACTCTGAGGAGAATAAGACAACATCTTGCATTATTTTCTTGATATACTAAGCTCAAAATCAAAAGTTCTTTTCCCTTCTATCAACTATAGCTCAAGAAACTGGAGACTAGAATGGAACTATTTTCTTCCTCTGGTGAAGTATACCTTTTCTTATGTATTCTACCACCAATTTCTCCCTCTTCCTTACTTTAGCCAACATCAACTCTTTTCAGATTAATATAATTCAGAAGTGGAGAATAGAGAACACCCCAAGAGTGAAATCAAATACCTAACTGGTTTTTTTTCCCCTCTGTTTAGTACCTCACACAGGTGTGGTTTTTTTTTTTTTTTTCTTTCCCCATAGCACGTATGTGACAACTATTGGGAAAAGAGCTAAGTAAAGGTTTGACATGAAGAACTTCAAAATAATGAGGACACTATGTTGTGTGACATTCTCCCAAGACTTGTTCTGTGGTCATTTTCCGCTTTCAGATCTGTTACAGCACATTTGAAGTGCAGACTTCTAGCTATCATTTTTCACTACTTACATATGTTAAACATTCTTACTGAGGGCACTTTATTCTTCACTTTGTTCTCTTAAGCTATCATTCTTTTGCTGTTTAAGTATACACTCTTTGTCCTCAGCTTTTCAAATTCCTTTCAGGTTGGCAGTCATCCTTCTAAGGATAATAGTAAAATGATATAGTGAACAGTAGTAGCACACAGACCTTCAGAAGGTCCTTGAAAGGCACAATTTAGAGATACTTCATGTATTTGCTTTTAAAAATGTTCAATTTGCTATGCAGTTATGATCCCACTGAAACATTATCCTTTATTTCTCAACAAGCTGAGCCAGCAGTCTGTGTCCTATACAGTGGCTAGACTATTTTATGCCTGCCCTTCTATGTTGTCAGCCTGTGCTAATTGAAATGTTTATAAAATGCTGATACTGAAATATTGCAGCTTAACAGTTCAATAGTTCTTTAATGAGCCCTCTGTTTTATTAATAAAATGATTTATAGAAATATTTAATCTCACTGATTTACCATTAGCATTAATGACTCTAGTTATTAAGCACTTTATTTCAGAATGCCACAAAAATACAAACCCTGTAAAACATGCAGTATCTTGTACTAAGTTATTTTGTATTTAGAGGGAATCAATGGTGTTGAAATCTCACGTTTTTTCTTCAGTGAAGCAGTTATTTATTAGCATAGAACTAGATGACTCTTTTATATAATTTCCCATTCATTATTTTCAGATTTTATCCAGATAACTTAGCATGGGGTCAATCACAAAAGTAATCCCAAAGAATGAAAACAGAAGCGCATAACCAGTCAGTAGAAGTAAAGTTATTTCCGTTGTCCTTGAATATTAAGCAAAGACTGCTTGAATATCAACTGTTAGTAAGAATCTGATTCTTTATTACTCTTAATCTAATTTCTTGAGAGAAATAATTTTCTGACACATTAGAGGCTATTACAAGATATTTTAAAATAATACGACCATCGCTCGTTTTTATTTGTACCTTCACATTGTTGTACAAATGAAGTGCTATTAGTTAGCTTTCACCCAGCCTCATGCATTAGGAAGCCCATAAAATGGTCACTTTATTTTGGGAGTAACTTCTACCGTAATAAGTTCAACAAAGAAGCTGTGAAAGTGACTTTCAGAGTCCTGAAAGGTGCCACAGGCCAATTGACCCCTCCCAGCTTCAACCTTAGACATCTAGGAAAGACAAATAGGGGGAAAAAAAAATCTTGTCTTGTGGTTTTATTTAGGAAGAAGGGAGGCTTTTGCCTTTTTCAGTCAAAAGACTGTGACTTTCCCGCTGCCCCACACCTACACTTTGCCATGTAAAATTGGATTTATGCATTTTCATCTGTATTTTCCTTATTTGGAAAAAATTCTTAGCTGGAAAATTTTGTTATGATCAAGGCAATAAATTTTCATTGAAAGTATTTATTTCTATTTTTTTTCCTTTTTAAACATGTAAATAAAATTAAGCCTTTTCACAAAAACCACTAGATTCTCTGGAAATTTGGTTTCATGTATATTGCTGGCAGGTTAACCAAGAGCTCCTTAAATATCTCTGAGTGTCACTAAACCTTCTGAGAGATGTTATAGACCAGGTGAATGTGACATATCTTACTTAGTCATGTATAACCAGCATACTCAGTGATTTTTTTAGGCAATTTCTGTGGTCTTAGGTTAATTTTACAGGGTCTCAATTTCCCCAGTTTTTCTGGTTTTAGGGACTCACTCATCCTGGTAAGAGAGAAGTGCTGCTGTCATAGCTGTGATTAGCAGAGGGCATTCATGTAGGAGCACATGTAGGCACGGGTTTATGCTTCCAAGAGGAAGATTTAATTACACAAAAAATGACATATGCATTACTGTAAAAATCCATGATTTTCAAGGGTGGATTAGACCAGGATTTTTTATAGGAAAAAGTACTTATGAAAGAGTCTTTCTCTTACTGGAGCAGCTTTTCTCTGACTAGGCAGATGTGCAGATGTGGGAATTTCACCGGCATGTAAGCTACACTGTCTGGTGTCAATGAAAGGAGATAGTGGGGGGCATAAAAGCTCCCGTTTCTGCAGGGTAAATATTTGTCTAATATGAACTGAGTCTTCATGTATAGAATTCACTTTTTACATTGATCTGAAATAAATCCAGACAGTCAGGCTGTATTCTGCATTTATTCTCTATTGCTGCATTCTAAATTGCTGCATATATTTTTTCCTGTACTTTGAGGCATTTCTGGCTAGTCTGAGGATGACAGAATGCTGCCTGGGCTTCCATTGTTATTATCATTATTTCTATTATTATTGCTCTTACTTCCACTATTATAATATTGTACTTTCAGAGCAAAAGAAAAGAGTTAACTCCACTTGTTTGGTTTATTGTATTTAAATACAAAACAAGAAAAAAAGGTATGTTGAAGCTTAGAAACATGCAAACAAAGTGAATGAAACCATCAGAAATAAATATTTTCCAGACAATATTAGCCTATTAAATCAGGCTATAGTTGCTGCTTTTTCCCATAGCTGCTTCCTTGATGTTTTCTGTGAGGAGAAACAGCCATTATCCTTTCCAATAAAAGACAGAACTGAAGGGAAAGCTGGTGAGTTTAATTCATTTTGATATACTCTGTTTGTATGAGTGTGTGTGTGTGCATGTGTGTGGATGTTGATGATGAGGTGCTTTCATTTTTAAGAGTGTGCTCTGTACCATTCATCTGTGTATTTAAATAAAGTTGTTGGGAATATATGATACTTCAGCCTTAAGCTGTCAAAAATGAGATTTCAAAGTATTCAGCAGCACAAAATAACAGAAGTTTTGCCACTATTTATCTCTGCTTGCCAGCTTGTAATGTTGATGTACGATATGTCATAATAAATCACTGAAATGAATACAACTACATAAAAAAGTGAAGCTACATGGCCACAGACACTGAAATATTTCTGATTACTACCCATCTCCCTCCTCCATCCACACACACACACTCGAAGACACATACACTCCAATGGTGATCCTGTTATAAATTTACTATTTGACAACATACAGATATGAGGTATGCTAGAGCCTTCCAAATAATTGCAAAGAAAATGGTAAAAGCTGTTTTATTTATATCCCAAATTCATAGTTTCCATTGACCTCAGTTACAGTGATGAGGCTCAACACCTTCTGAAATCCAGGTCTACATCTCATTTTGCCCTCCTTACAATTTCATTACCATTTAAATTTCTCTTAAATTCTTTATATATATACACATATGTATTTGTGTGTATATTCTCCCTTTCTTATTGATACAAATACATATGCAGAATAGATAAATAAATATAATTGTGGTGGGTTGACCTTGTCTGGATGCCATGTGCTCATGAAGGTTGCTCTATCACTCCGCTTCCTCAACTGGACAGGGGTGAGAAAAGCTTGTGGGTCGAGATGAGGACAGGGAGAGATCATTCACTAATTACCATCATGGGCAAAACACACTTGACTTGGGCAAATTAATTTAATTTATTCCTAATCAAATCAGAGTAGGGTAATGAGAAGTAAACACTAAATATTAAAACACCTCCCCACCCCTCCCTTCTTCCTGGGCTTAACTTTGCTCCCAATTTTCTATACCTCCTTCCCCATAGCAGTGCAGGGGCATGGAGAAAGTGGGTTGTGGTCAGTTCATCACATGTTGTCTCTGGCACTCCTTCCTCCTCACACTTTTTCCCTGTTCCAGCGTGCGGTCCCTTGCGTGGGAGACTCTCCTCCACAGCCTTCTGTGACATGTGTCCTTCCCATGGGTTACAGTTCTTCATGAGCTGTTCCAGCATGGGGTGCAGTCCTTCAGGAACAGACTGCCTCAGTGTGGGTCACCTGTGGGGTCACAAGCCCTGCCAGCAAACCTGCTCCTCTGTGGACTTCTCTCCATGGGGCCACAGGTCCTGCCAGGACCCTGCTCCAACATGGACTTCCCACAGGGTCAAGCCTCCTTTGAGCATCCACTTGCTCCCTCGGGGGGTCCTCCATGGGCTGCAGGGGGACAGCCTGCCTCACCGCGGTCTTCACCACAGGCTGCAGGGGAATCACTCCTCCAGACACTAGAGCACCTCCTCCTTCTTGGTGTGTGCAGGGCTGTTCCTCTCACATACTCTCTCTCCTCTCTCTTCTGATTGCTGCTGGTGTTGCACAGGTTTTTTATTGTTTTTTATTGGGTTTTTTTCCCCCATTATCTCAGAGATACCACCATCGCTGATGGGCTTGGCTTTGGCCAGTAGTGGGTACCACCCTGGAGCTGAATGGCATTGGCTCTATTGGACATAGGAGAAACTTTTAGCAGATTCTCACAGAAGCCATCCCTGTAGCCCCCCTGCTACCAAAACCATGCCATGCAAACCCAATACCCAAAACAAAGAGAGAGACTCCATCTGGTAAATTTAATAAATTTCAAAGTTTGTTTATTGTTATCTATTCACAGTAAATCACTAAAGCACAGGTTTTGACATTATTTGTGAGAGAAGACAGTATGCCTGTCTTTTTCATGCTTATTAAAAGAAGCTGCTCTGGAAGAAATTAAATTAAGTTTAAAAGTTCCCCCAAACAGACTTGTTAAGGGATTATCAATAAATAAAATCCCTGCATTAAATAACACTTTCCTCTTTAGCTTTTGACCTGACAGCAAATCTCTATCACAATCCCAGTGTGGAAACAACAGCAAAGATATGGGGTTACTAGCCTAAATAAAATATGTGACACTTTTGTAAATTAATGAAAAAAATACCACTTTAAAATCTATTTCATTTAGTACTACAATTGGTTTCCAACAGTTCTCAATATTCTGTTCTCTCCACTAGGTCAGATATTCTGCTGACTTCAGCAGAGTAAAGTCCATATGAATATCTATCCCCTAATCCGTACTTTGTCCAGCCACTAGTCCAACCTTTAACAGTTTTACAGAAAATTGACTTTCAGAACAAATTTAGTTGCCTGGGTATAATAAAAATCAGAATTTATTCTAATTTTTTTTTGCTATCACATGACAGTGTTTTTTCATCACATGAGCACATTTTCCTTCATTTCCACTTCTACTTCTATTTTTTTATCTTTATTCTTTTTCTGTTTCATGCTTTGAATATGCCAATTCCACATAGTGTCCAGTTTTGTTTGCAAGGTTATTATTCTATACCAAGTACTTGCTTAAATTGAAATTAGGAATACTATTTCTGAGTGCCTCATAAAAAAAAATGTAACAAAAAGAAGATTCACAAATGCCTGTATGTCTCGCTGTAATGTATTATGTGAAATGTAATTGACTATTGTAATTATATGCAAATATTATATCATAGAAATTACACACATATGTACACACACATGCACACACACATGCACAGAAATAACATACACTTAGTATAACTGGTTATGAGTACCAAAAGAAGAATATACCAGTGGAGGCATATACAGTTTCTGAATGTGTAGTCCATTGTTTGAAAGCAAAAAGGAAACAACCTATCTAAGTGAGTGACCTGTCTCTAGTGGAGAGCATTAGAAAAAGAAAACACCCTGAGGGCAGTTGCTATTTGTTTCATTAGCCTGTGGAATTTTTAATGTCCTTACAAATTCAGTGTAGAAATAGTGCTAAGATGTTTTTGTCATGATGTCTTTGTGAGGATATGGATTTCAACACATTTCAAGACAGAATACTACATGTTGAAATCATTACTCCTCCTGTCATGCCAAAATATTATCAAGGGAAAGCAACTGACTGCCACAGGAGAGGGCATTACATTGGCCATCCTCCATCTTGAATTGCACCTCCTCTTCTCACTGCATCTCTCTAAGGTGACCTGTCCCCCATCAATCTTAGGTGCTGATTATGGCAGCCGTTGTATGCTGTTGCTATGACCACAGACACTGTGCTGCAACCCCTCAGCTTTTGCTTTTCCTAGCATTTTCTACATTTCATGCTTTAGTTTTAAAAGCAAAACAAATTCTCTGAACTGATCCTGTATTTAGTCTATGAAAAAAAAATAAGGGGCTCTTGGCAGATTAAAAAGTATTACTTCTTAGCATATGTATGAACAGAACTGTCGTATGTTAACATTACAATAGTCTTTTCTACATTAGGACTTTAACATGGATTAACAAATTTCCCAAAAAGCGTGATCAGTCAACCAAAGTTTCTGTTTTAGCAGAGCAAGGGAGGTAAATGTCATGAGCAGATGAGACCTGAAGGTTCAGTATGTTCTATTGCTTTCCATGAATCAAGGAAATGGAAATATATTTTACAATATTTCTTAAGCTCCATCTTATAATTAGCTAGATTTCTGTTAGGTACTAGCTAAATTATGTGTGGAGGCAAGTTTCTTCCTTTGAAATATAATTCCTTTGATAATAAGAATATAAAATGGGAAATTCTAAGACAATATAATTAAAAACTTAATAAAATCATAATAAAATCTCAATAAATTAAATAAAAATAAAGTTATAATAAAATCTTCAATATGTCACAGATTGCATAGGTAGCTTTTCCAGTGCCCATCAGTTAGCCAAGGAGTCTGCACAATGGAATTTGGTCCTATGATAACCTAAATAGAGATAGAGCACAAAGAAAGAAAGCCTTTAAGATGTCTGACATTAGAATGGGGTCAAGTCTGTTGAAAAACTTTTAGAAAAAAGTTAAAATCCTTTTTAGACCATCTTTTAAAAAGATTAATTGAATTATCTATTCTTCATATTATAGAAGCTGCCATTTTCCCTGAAAAATCAACTGTTGCCATTGTAAGGTCTTTTTGTCTCTACTGAGGACTTGATAACATCACTGCAGAGCAGTGTAAAAGCAAGATCTGCAATTTTCTCTCAGTGATGGAGACACATGCACACAAATTTTGAATCTTGTCCATTGTAGATGGATTTATTTGAATAGATAGTTTCAAAATGTCTCACACAAAACATGAAAAATCGTTTTGTTTTCCATTTTTAAAACCTCATGTTAAAATAGTCGCAGGACCAAATTTAGATTAGATTTGAGAAAGCTATAAAAAAAGCTAATGGAATAGTGAAGGAATTTTCTAGAAATTCCACCATAAAATTTGATGACATAGCAACAGTTAGAAAATATAAGGGACTATATATCTTTAAATTAGCCAATTATTCATTTCTTTCCATTTCATAAAAAACACTGCCCAGTTCTGGTAATGATAAAATGAATAGATTCACTGATCCTAACTGGAGCATGATAAGGACAAATAATACTTATGAACTCCAAGCACTCACATGTGGTATTATTAAACATACAGAACTGTATCTGACCTTAATAATCATTGAAGGAAAGCACATAACAAAGTTGTGTCCTGGTTTCGGCTGGGATAGGGCTAATTTTCTTCATAGTAGCTAGCATAGTGCTGTGTTTTGCATTTAGTACCAGAAGAATGTTGATAACACACTGATGTTTTCAGCTGTTGCCAAGTAGTGCTCAGACTACTCAAGGACTTTTTGAGCTTCTCCTGCTTGCCCAGGTGCATAACAAGCTGGGAGTACAGCACAGCTAGCACAGCTAACCCAAACTGACCAAAGAGCTATTCCATACCATATAACGTCATGCTTGGGGGGGGAGGTTAGTTCGGTCGGTCGGTCGCGGGGAGACTGCTCGGGGCTCGGGGACTGCTCGCGGCTCAGGGACTGCTTGCGGCTCCGGGCGGGGGGGGGGAC